TTGAAGCATAAAAGAGTTAAAGAGCCAGAAAATGGAATAACCATTTGTCAGAGAAAACAGGAATATAAACTGAAGTCACAGAGATTAGAATGGAGAAAACAAATATTGGAATGAAATGAAATTAATGTAACAACTCAAGCATAAAAAATAGCACAGAGGAGAAAAACATGACTTTTAAAGGATTACTAAGGTCTGTGAGATTCTACTAAATTTACTTCTGTTTGAGAGTGTACTCCTAGTAGATTTACTAAGGAAAAATGTATAAAGAGCCTTAGTAAGTACATAATGGAGTAAATAATTAAGGGGTATGAACTATTCTTCTCAAAACAACACTATTCTATAAAGCAACTTATCAATGATCCTTTGAGTTATTTCATTCATGTGATTTCTATGCTTTTAGAGTAGAATTAAGCTGCTTAACTGACAAATACCAAATAAGGAAATGGTCAGAATTTATACAAGCTCCACTTAGGGATGTCTCAATAATACCATACCATTATTTGTAATTTATACTATACCATTAGTTGTAATTTAAAACTATTTAAAATGCATATATTATAGATTAAGAACATCCTTATGGTATTTTTATGTTGAAGTTACTTTTCTCATATTTTAAAAATCTCATTTATATCATGTATGTGTTGTACAGCCTGTTTGTAAACTGATGCTCTCTCTTTTAAAGCTAGTGTTAGGAAGAATGTCTGACTTAGATGTTTCTAAATGGCAAAAATATAAAAATTAATTGGAAGTGTTTTGTTTTTATTTTTTAAAAATAATTCATATCACTAGATTAGAAAATAGCAGCAAAAACGTCATCTCATTGCGACTACCTTGCTAAATACATGTATTTTAAAAATGCACTCATATTACATAGACTGCTTTGGAACTTGTTTTGTAGTTTAATAATATATTCTGAAATGCTCTCTGCCATTAACTCTTATTCCACAACATGTTTTCATTATGTGGTTGAACCATAATTAAATTAACCTGAGTTTTCCTATCATTCCTACTGTTATAAAATTATATGCATGTGTCAGCCTTTACTACTCTAAAAAGTAACTGAGAAAATAAAACTACAAAATAAAAGTTTTATTCTTTGTTCTTTTTAGATAGACATGACAGCACAGTGTATTTTGACATATTATACACACATGGAGTATAAAATCCTAATTAGGATCCCATTCTTGTGGTTGAACATGATGTGGAGTTCCACTGGTGGTGTATTCATACATGAGCATAGGAAAGGAAAGTTATGTCAGATTCATTCTACTGTCTTTCCTATTTCCATCCCCTTCCTTTTCCTTTCTCCCCCCCTCCTTTGTCTAATTTAATGAACTTCTACTCTTCCCTCCCGCTACCTTATTGTGTGTTAGCATCAACATATCAGAGAACATTCAGCCTTTGGTTTTGGGGGACTAGCTAAAAGATTTACTTTGGCTCACAGTTTAGGAATTCTCAGTGCATAATCGATTGGTCCCATTGCTTTGGACCTGTGGCAAGGCAGGCATCATGGCAGGCCACCTGGCAGAACAAAATACTCACCTCATGGCCAGGAAATGAAAGAGAAGGAAAAGATCACAGTCTCATAATCCCCTTTGAGGACACACTCCTAGTGACCCAAAGATCATTCTTGACTTCCTGCCCCCACACTTAACGTTTCCAACACTTCCTAATAATGCCAAGCTGGGGACCACACTTCTAACACATGGGGCCTTTAGAGGACATTGAAGACAACCAGGGAGGTAGGGAACTCCATTACAGATAACTTTTTGAACATAATCCCCAAAGCACACAAAGTTATAAAACTTCTGGTATGCACTACCAAATTGTCCTTACCCTAGTAAGATATGAAGGTATCTATTTCATCAGTTCTCCTGCATTTTAAAGTAAGATCAAAAAGTATCTAACATGAGCTGGGATTGTGGCTCAGCGGTAGAGCGCTCAGCATGGGCTCGACCTGGGTTCGATTCTCAGCACCACATAAAAATAAAGGCATTGTGTTGTGTCCATCTACAAAAAAAGATTCATTGTCTCTCTCTCTCTTCTCTCTCTCTCTTAAAAAAAGTACCTAACATTGTGCCTGCATAGAGTAGTATCATATAAAATTTGGTTCCCTTTCTGTTCCATTCTCATTTAGGAGGAGATTTTCACATTTTACATGTAAGGACATGTGGACCATTGGTTATTTGGGCATTTAATGCATTTAAAGGAGTGAGAATTTTAAATAAGTGGGTTTTATTAATATTTACACTGAATCACAGGAATGGACATAGTCCATTCCATTCCCAAATCTTCATGAAATGAAATTAAACATCTTAAATTAATTGCACTGTTAAGTTTTACCTTGTAAACCTAATCCCATTATGTAGAGGAAAATGAAAGTATTTAGTCACCATTCTTGGTTGTCTGTGTATCAACAACTGAGCTTCTCAGGTTCCTACATGGAAATCAATTTTCCAAATATTYTGAATCACATGGAATCGGTTTCATGTGAAGGCCTTAGAGATGTAAAATCAAAGTTCAAAACAACAGGATCCACAAAGCCAAGCCTTAACAAAACTAACTTTCCATTCACTTAAAAATCTAGAAAAAGTTTTTAAAACAAACAAATGTTTGTTGTTTTTCAGTGCAAGGTATCCTGATAGCAGCAAACACACAGCTTACTGTGAATGGTACAAGGATCATGGCGCAAGGATTTCTTGAAAAAAACAAAAACAATAACAACAACAACAACAAAAAAAAACCTCTCACAACTAAAGAGATTGGGAGATCTATTGGAGGGTCTATTTAAAATTCCTTCCACCTTAAAATCCTTCCTCCTTTCAAACTGAAATAGCCATCTATTACCAAGAGAATATATTGTTTTCCCTAAGGGGAAAAATGAAGCATAAAAAAGAAACTTGTCACTGAAAACTTATAAAGAATTAAGGTCCTTGGCCTTATATAGCACAAGATAAATATAAAGAAAAACCTCACACATAAACTAATGAAGAAAAATRGTGAATACTTTTTCACAGCATGTAATGGCCCAACAATGGTGTGATCATCCATATCTATATTCTCYGAAAGCTATAGGTGTTTTCACTGGCTTTGGTATTTTCTAGTAAGCTCAGAGTTTTCCATTTCACAAAAATAAGCCACAGATGAGCTTTAAATTAATCTTCTCATTTATCTACTCTAAAGATACTACTTTTGGGTGTTTAGGAATTTTTTAAAAATTCTTCCTTCGAAAGACAAAATAATCATCATGTTAATGTTCTGTTTCCAAGTGGTTAGTTGCTTTTAAAATAGCACTGTGGCATTTATTGTATGCATTTACTAACCATGAAAACAGAAAGCCCAAGTTTTCTTCTATCCAGCAGAATGTAAAACATATCAATGCTTCCCCTATAATGTCCACAGGGTTGTTTTTCTTGTTTGCTGTGTTTTTCCTGTTGTTTCCTTTCACTTTCAGGAACCAGTAATTTAAGGGTGTTTTAAACTCTGAAGTCAATGGTAGAAGCTTCCTTTAATAATCATATAATCATAGCATGTTCATTCATTTCTTGTAGCTATCATAATCCATGGTTTCAAGATGAATTTTTTTAGGTTGTACAACACAGCTAAATGGTGGCTTTAACAGAAATATTTATTGTTGGAAGATAACAGATTCACTTTATATTTAAAATTTTATTCTTAGCATTAATATCATTTCCTTGTTCGTATTGTCTTCTTTCCAAACCTCCTTTAAAAAGCAGTGGAGATGAATGGTTGTTTTATGAAACCTTAAAATTCTCAGAAGTGCTTTATCTTTTTATTGTAGCATCTATCACTGGTATAATTCTCATCCTGTACAGGCTTTTCATTTTGTACAAATTATTTACATTGAATTCAATTAATTTTATGATCTTCTCCAAATTATGACAAACATATACAGTACCTAATATTTTTCTATAAAACTGCCTTGCCTGCTCTTTAAAGCATTAACTAAGATTGTCAGCTTGCCGAGCTGATGCATACAAAGCTATTTTTCTGGCTATTAGGTGCTCAGGACAGTCAGTTCCCAAACATTTCAGCACACTGAGGTTACATATGTGATGGTTTTAAGTGGATTCTAATGTTTCTTAACCTGATAAAATGCTATTAATCCTTTGTAGCCACTTTCTAAAAAGTACTTTGTGTGCTGAAAACAAGTTCAGAAATGCAAAGCAATTTTATGTGTAATAATATTATCCTCCCATCAGCATAAATTAATTTCTTTCAATAAAAGTGTTGGTGAAACCCTGTRAGGGAAATAAAACATAATTGTTTATGCTCTGTAAGTTGAAGAATAAAGACGAACTCATTGCCTATGTTCTTGTAATTTGAATTATCTGATATGGTGACGGTTATACATTATCTTCTCAGATGTTTGATAGTAATTCAGGAGAAATCTGGGATGACCTCAGGATGATCTCTCTAAGTCCAGCTGCTTAACTCTAAATTCCATTTAATAACCATTTGTGAAATCAGCACATCTCCTCAGAACTCTCCCGTGGGTTGCAAGTGATCAAACAGACAAAGCTATTATGACAAGACTGTTAGATAGGTTTAACAGAAAGGGAACGCTAAAGACACTCATGACCGACTAGGAAACTGCACCCTGGGAAAGCCATATTCTTTATTAAAATCTCCACAAATACAAAAGCATCATTGAAATGTATGTGTGTGTCTCTCTCTATATATAGACTGTTTACATAAATACTATTTACACATATTCCAAGTTCTTGGAAAATCATCACAAATTTGTTGGCTTTACATTTTATTACATGGCATATCCCTGAAACATTAAAAAAAAAATACCCATGCAATTTTCAGATAAAAAGTATCATTTGAACTTCTAATATGTACGTTTTCTTTTAGACTGTTTCCAAGATTTTGCTCATCAGTGTTTCCCAATTTAGGCTTTCTGGCCATGGGAATGACATGTCCTGGGTTATATAAAACTTGGTAGCTTGTCATGGCAAGAAGCACTGCAGATTTCAAGAGTACCTTGCCTTTTCTGTAGCAAGAGCCAACCTGCGGATGTTGGATATACAACCTGCTGCAGCTTCCTGGAGTTCCTGATCAGGGGACCCAACCATATCCAGTAGCAGCTATCATAGGTAACAGAGGAGGAAGAGAAGAAACAAGAATAAAACCATTAATCTAAAGTCATAACATTAATTTATAAAAATAATTTTAAACAATAAGGTATTTTTAAAAGCCACCAAAAAGAACATAAGAAATTCCATATAGGCAAATGCAAATATAACATGATGCTTTATAATCAGATGTAGAATTCACCATGGAATTCTTACCTTTTAATTTTTTTTTCAGAGCTGAGCTAGATCATTTCTTTGGGCATTACTAGAATGGGTTCTGCTTCTGAAACTTCTCTGGCATTCTTTCTGGCTTTTCCACCTCTCAAATTAACCAATCATATCACACCTAGACTCTTACTGCATCCTCTTAGACTTAATCTCTCTGAATTCCAGTCCATCTAATCATGTCATTGTCTAATTATATCAATCCCCTAATACGGACTGTCAGTGACTCCCAATGCCAAAAATCTAGAGCCTAATTTATTAACCTGTCGTATTATGACAGGACTGTTAGATGGGCTTAACAGAAAGGGAATACTAAAATAAATAAATAAATAAACTCCTTGGAGAATTTGCAGACTCAAGCCTCAGTTTGCTTTTCCAGCCATTCATCTTTGTCCTGTTCAGTCACCAGTCATGCACTGCAAGGTCATACTTCCCCATTTAACTTGCCTTTTTTTTTTAATGCCATTCCTCTCTCTAAAGTGCCCACCCAACCCTTCTCTTTGTTAATTATATCCATCTTTCAAAATGGAATCAGTCAACATTTCCACAAAGCCATCACAGATTTCCTCCATCCAACAAAAATGCCATTTCTTCTTTCTCAGAACTCTTAGGAGTTTACTCTGATGCCCATTGTCATTCCCTTTCTAACAAATATGTGAGTTAATGCTTTTTGTYCCTGAGATTATAAATGCTTAAACTTTTAAGGTCATATGGTACTCTAGAGCACATAGAAGATGCCAAATAAATGCCAATTACAATTTTAAAATCTAGCAACTATGATTCTTATCAATAGTTCTGATAAAAAATAAAAAAAAGATTAATCTGGATAATATATTTTCTATATAGTAGCAGTTGAGTACACATATGGGTGATACCAGAAAATGCAGATGACATAAAAAGTAAAGAAATATAATAAACAGAAATATTATAAAGTGTTTCAAATATGCCATATGTAGGACTTTGGCTTTTATTCTCTAGTAATAAAAAGAAGTGATTTAAGTACTTTAATCATGAAAGTGATATGGTCATATTTATGTTCTAGAAAAATAACTTTTACAGAAACTTATAGACTATGAATTATAGAGTGAAGATACTGAAAGGTAATGCATTACCTTGCTAAATGTAATAAGGATTTAATAAAGGATAAGGATAATGAGGAAGGAAAGAATTCAAGGGCTATTTAAGGACTTAGTAACTATCCAATAAATAAGCCAAGAAATATTGATTATACTAATAGAATAAAATAAAAATGGTAATCTCACATTATACATAAATATCAACTTCAGATGGATTAATGAATTAATCCATTAGGTTCCAAGTTTTTAATTCTTCAAACACAATAAATATTTACGTATTATTTCAAAGTTACCATAAATGGTTGATTTGTTTAAGTTTTCATAGGCATTTCACATCTGGAAAAAAATGGGTTCAATAAGAAAGGAAAAAAGGTAAAACATTTAGAAGGTTTTATACAAGAACATCTTGATCAAATTAGGGCATTGGAGGATGTCTGGCTTCTCTGTTCCTTGACCTCCTAAATATCACTGATCTTCAGCACCTCTCTAACTCCAGAGTCACACACCAGTCCTTACTTTCCATCATACCCAACAGTCCACTTCCAAACTCTCTGACCACTGTGCCTTCCCTTATGATTCCATTATTTAACAATTCTTGGTTGTTCTCCTCATGACCATGTACTTTGGCCCATGTATGCTTTTACTGTAACAGTCTTTGTTTCATCCATGAACAGCTCAGATTCCATAGTCCATCTCTGCAGTAACTCCCTTACCAGTTTCTTAAACCTTCATAGGACATCCATCCATTTATAAATCCCACTCGGCCTTCCTCATGTCTCCTCCAATAACTGAGACCTTATTCAGCAGTATTCAAACAACAGGCAAATGGATCTACTATAAATTCAACAGCAACTGCAAAGATCATTGCCCAGCCATCTAAATATGTCTGTCTCTAATTAGGTAACTTTCTCACTCTTTTCAATGTCTATTTTAAATCTTCTTTGTTTTCTCCAGTCTCTTATGCTTCCATCCAACCCCTATTCTCAGCAGATGACCTGTAAGGACACCTTCTCAAACTTAATGGAAGCCACCCGACAGGAACTAGTCTAACTAAAACTGCCACTCTACAGACACCTTAACACATCTCTTTTCCTCCTTTCTTGCAGCTATAACAGATATCTATCTCCTATACAAAGGCTGTACCTGTATTTTCCATCCAGTCTCTATCTCCTTGGAATATTTTAGTACCAACCATTCCCTTTCTTCTTACTTAACCTTTAACCTCTTCCTTCCTAATAAGTTTTTTCCATCATCATTTAAATAAATGTACATTTTCCACATTAAAAAAAATAACACCATCTTCATCTCCATTTCTTCTTTTCATAGTCAAACTTCTTTTAAGACTTGTCTGGATTTACTATCTCCAGTCTTAAATTCCATTCAACTCACTGCAGACTGGCTTCAGCCTTTAGATTTCCATTGAAATGGTGCTTAGGGAGACCATCAGTAACTTCCATGTTGTTAAAAAGAATGGATACTTCTGAGTTTTTATCTCATTTGATTCCCTAACAACATTTGGTATCATTGACTACTTTCTCCTTTTTGGAATATACTTTGTCATTGGCTTTTAATTTTTTTTTCTCAGTGCCACACTCAAACCTAGGGCTTCACACATGTTGAGCATGTGCTTTACCACCCACATAGACCCCTAGCCCCACCACTAGCATCTTAYACCTTACTCTCCTGGKTTTCTTCCTACCCACCTTTCTCTTCTTCTCAATCTTCATCAATGTCTCTTCCTCTTCCRCTCAAACATAATTTGTTAAAGTTACTCAGAACAATTCCTCTTCTGTTTTTCCATTTTGTTCTCTCTCCCTAGATGATTGCTTTTGCTACGTAAATTCAAATATCATTCACATGAAACCATATCTAAATTTATCCTTTACCTCAGAACTTTCTTTCAAATGACACACTACTTATTCTAATGCTCCTTAGACATCTCCACTTGGAAGTATAACAGCCATCTCAAACTTAATATACTCCAAATGAAATTTTAACTTTTTCTATATAAACATGGGTCCCTCTCATTATTTTTCTATATCAATATCAATAGATATCAYCACTTGAGTGTATAAACAGAAATCCTATCTCACATTCACTTCTACCCTCTTCAACTGCTTCCCATGAATTACCATATCCTTGTGATCCAACTGCCTACATATTTTTGAAAGTCATTCATATCTATTGCTCTTGTCACCTCCTGTAAAGTCTATAGCAATTTCCCAGTGTCCTTGCATCCTGTCTTGGGCACTTAATTAATTGCCTATAATTTATCATTCATACTGAATCCAAAGTAATTTTCTAAATTATSAAAAGTCACTAATAATAGGTAAAAACCCAAAGAAACAAAAGGGAACAAAATTTGAACAGTCTTCAACAGAAAGAAACAACCCTATGTGTCTTTGGGGATATAGGTCAAAATAAGGTTGTTATGCAAATACACACATACACACACACAATATGCACTCACAGAAAAACACAACACTTACACACCCACATTCTCTATCTCTCTTTCTCTTCAGGAAGAGGCAATGATAATGGGAAAGAAGAACAGAAAAGGCAGCTCTCCTTGGTCTCCCTTTCACACGACAGATGTCTTTGTACAGTCTTTTAAGTCTCTTTCCTTAGCTTGCAGCTTTTAACTCATGTACTATATTGTAGTATTTTCATCAATCTATTGGTGAAACCTTGCTCTAAAGTTTTTAAAGCAGATATAATTATGTTAATTTTAGACTATTTCTTCTAAATATGTATCTCATGTAGTTCATCCTCTGCTTTAATCATCCTTACACATCTCTTACTGCTTTTTTCTGCCCACCTCCACCATGGTAATCCTCATTGTTCTTAAGTACTTAGTGTTACCTGTAAACCTGGAGGTTTCACTCTTCCTCATCATAATTAATCATTAAAWATGAGCAGTTTCAGCCTCGATGCCAAAGAAGCCTACTAATAGCATATTTCTGTCCCYAGATGTAGTTACWTTTTAATTTCTGCTTTCCAATCTTTAAATTATTTCTTATAGAAGAACAAAATGTTCCAGGACTGGAATTATAGTTTAGTGGTTGAGTATGTTTTAGCATGCACAAGGCCTTGGGTTCAATTCCCAGCCTGACAAACCAACAAAAACCCCCAAATGCTCTAAACCAATTTCTTGGTAAATTAGATAAACTCTTGGGGATTTTAAAAACTTACTAATGATTTTCCTTTATGTGACTTATTTTCTTCCATTTCTTCCCAAGTAGATGATTCATAAGAGCTTATGAGTCCCCTTGCTGATTCCTTTGTTTTATAAAATATAGGAGTAAGACTCTCCCAGTATTCTAAATCACTTATTACTATATTAATTTTTTTGTGATAGCCAATAAAATTTGAATGAACCTCACAATGAACCTCAGTTGCCTGTAGACTTTTCTTGGCCCTGGATTAGAGGGTCTCGTGTTATACTGAATGTTTGATTTTCACAAGCAAATGGGATGTAGAAATAATCTCTGTGTTTGTCAGCTTTTGGTCTGTGACCAAAATACCTGACAAGAACAACTGTGAGGAAGAAAAGTTTATGGTTTCAAAGGTTCAGTCTATGGTTCCATCACTCCATTCCTCTAGGCTGGAGAAAAGGCCATTCATCATAGTGGAAGGGTGTGACACAAGAAARCTGCTCAGGTCAKGACAGCCAGGAAGCAGAGAGGGAGAGAGAGAAAGACACCAGAGACA